GGGGGGGCTCCGCTGCGCGGGCCCGGGGCGGCTCCCCGATCTGCCGTCGCCGCTCTCCTTCGTCGCCGCTCCCCTTCGTCGCCGCCCCGCCGCTGCCGGCGGCGGAGATCTGCCTTCCGCGAGGGGTCCGCGGGACCTCGGCGCCTTCCCGCCCGCGGCGCTGCCGCAGCCCGGCCCGCTGCCCGCGGGGCGCTCCGGGGAGCGGCCGCCATCTTTGCCCGGAGCCGCTGGCCCGCACCGGCCGCCGCCGGTGAAGAAACGTCTGTCAGGGTGCCGGAGCCTTGCGCGGCCTGGTGGATGGCAGGCGGAGCCTCCTTGTCTGGAAATACCTAGACCCGCCCGGGTGTCTTCCCGTACGAACTGCTCTGGGGAACCCGCTTTAAAAGGCGACCGGGACCGGGGCGGCCGCCGAGGTGCTGTGCGGCCCCTGGCTCTGTGGCCGAAGCAGCAGCTCAGCTCGGCTCAGCTCCGCTCCACTCCAGCAGCACGGCGCTCAGCGGTGGGAGCGAGGCCCTGCGCGGCTAGGAGGAAAGCGCTTTCCTGGATGGAGTCGTAGAAACCCAACTGCGAAGGACCCGCGTGGAACACTACTAGAACGTGATGACACTTTGGAATAACAGACAGTGCTTGGTCCCTGAGAAGAGCAAGGGGCACACGGGGGCTGTTTGGCAGGATTCATCACGCGGGGCACTGAGGTCTGCAGTATCTGATGCACGGTCTCAGATGTGAACGATCCAAATTGTTTATTACGAGTTCTCACATCACTTACATACCTTCACAAGTTTTCTTTTTTTAGCTTTCCCACCCACCTTTACAACTTCCCCATCCACCTTTACATGCCAGCAGAGCATTCTACAAACACTCTTCAACCGTTCACACAGGCGCTTCTCCAATCAGAGCCATCAGACATTCTTTCTTCTAGAGGTGTCCTTGGTTCTCATGCTGTTAATCTTGCTCCACAGCGGCTGCTCTGAACAGTTTTTCTTGTATTCCCACAGAGACCCACAGGAGTTCACGTCATATCCTGCAAACCTGAGTGCACATGGGGAATGCTGAGGTCATACTACATCAGTGCTGCTGCAGAAACGTCAGATTTTCTTCTGCCAGTCTCTGCTTTCATTGAAAAGCAACCATCTTCTGCTGGTAAACAAAAGAAGCGCATGGCAGTTGCTGTGTAAGGCCAGTAAAATAATCAGAAGTCCATTGTGAAAATACAGCCTTTGGTCCTTCAGAAGTCCGTACAGTTGGCACAGCAATGTGGGCAGGTCCTGCTGTGCTCCCAGGGGTGCACAGCCCCCAGCTCACTGCTGGGTGCAGCCACAGGCACAGCCCTGATACCCACAGCAATGGCATGAAAAGAGGAAACATTTATTTTGCAAAAGCTTTTAAATGCAGCTGTCCCACTTCTCATTTGTTGCTAGAGCTGACAAAAAAAAAAAAAAAAAAAAAAAGGGATTTTTATAAATGAACATATGAATCCATTCCATGAGAAAACAAACCACCGCTGTTATTGTATGACCAATGTTTACACCAAGTATTTTTGGTGTGTAGAAAGCTGCAAGCAGGCTGTTTGTTTATGCAGCATTGGCAGCTCAAACACTCCCTGCTGAAGGACCAGTGTTCAGCAATTCTTTGCTAAAGGGTTTTTCTGCTCGTGCCTCTCTCCATGCATGTCTGCCCCGGTGCCTGAGGTGTGGGAGCTCCCTGCACAGCCCTCGTGCTGTCTCTCCCTTCATGGGAGGCACACAGAGGTCTGGGAAGAAACATGGGGGCAAAGAGTTGTGAAGAACGGGGCTGGGGGAGGCACAGCCTGCAGCATGGCTTGCAGGTGCGCTGGCGGCTTGGGATTCCCTCTGGGACATTACCATGATGCTGGGCCAGCATGTGGCAGGGTAATGTCCCGGAGTACTGGGGTACACCTATGTCCCAGAGCTCACTTCCCAGCCTGAAGCCTTGTGAGTCAGAGTCGCAGGGAAGAAACTCTCCCAGATCCTGGTAAGTTCCTCAGAAGTGTCAGGAGGTGAGATGGCGCACCAGCCTCATGTTGGCAGCAAAGAGCAGTGGCACATTTGGTTTTCTGCCAGGGAGTTTCTGCTTGCCAGAAGCCTTTCACATGAAGTGTTTGTCTTTGTCTTACTCTGCTCATGTCTTTAGAGCTGGAAGCAAGAGGAAGCTGAGAGTCTTGTTCAGTATCTGAGAAGTACCTGCCTTCCTTCCTCATCTCCATAATTTCTTCTGTACAAGGAGGCACTTCTTTACCCACATATGTTTAACTTTCTCCCCTTATCAGCTTGATCTTCCCCAGAATGTGTTCTGCTACCCAGCACACCGATCAGAACGCTCTTCTCAAAAATCCCCCTCCAAATCCCACTGTTTGTCCTCGTTAAAAATTAGATGATCATCCTTGTTTTTTGGTTTTTTGTTTTGTTTTTTTCCCCTTGCTTTATTTTATCTATATGAACACAGGGCACATCTTGTAAACTACAGCACGCAATGACAAATAGAGCATTGTTCTCCCAAAGCTGAGATTTCAGGCGGTGCAGTAGTGGTGCGTCTTGTCAAGGTTTGCTCTGGCTGCCCGAGTGCTGTAACTTTCTTACCTGGAGCTGGGAGGCTGTGTGCTGGTCACCCAGGATCTGCAAAAAGCCCTTCTTTCACCAGCAGCTCACTGCCTTGCACAGCCTTATGGAGCTTCATAACGCCACTTCTGGTGGCTTTTTATCTTATGCTTCTGCGCACTTTAAAAAGTCCAGGATTGGCACAAACACAGTCAAGATTAATCCCATTCTATCAAAGAGTAGAAATTACTCTACCACAAGTGTAGTAAAGCTGGCCTCTGCACACCATGAGCGGGACCAGGAGGTTTTCAGGCCAGACTGGCAAGATTATGGTTATACATTCCTATATGGCAGTATTTTAAAAGGAAAAATGCTGTATAGAAAAGGTGTACTCATGGCTAGTTTTAGATTCCCTAAACTTAAATGTTGACTTGGATGGAATGATTTCTCTTCTAATACTGGCATAGGGCTCACTTAGAGAGAAGACCTGCCATGCTGTCCTTGTACCTACTTTTGATCCCAGTCTGTAGCTATTTAGGATTTGGTTAATTTGTGAGTGTGGTGACAGAGAGGTGGGCAGTCGGCTGCAGTGCTGGTTGGTAGGGTGGGGGTACTTGGCTGTTGGCATCTCCGTGCCTTTGTGGAAAGCTCGGGGCCAGTCCCCGTGGATTGAAACCAGTAGGAAGGGCCAGACTGGCAAGCAGCTGTGGTCACACAGGGCTGTGTGCTGGGCAGCAGGCTCAACTCCCGACCATCTGCATCTAAAGATGCTCTGGCCACTGGAGGGCCCTTCGTGGGCAGCGTGCTTTGGTTCTCCAGCCCTGCCGTGCCCTCTGCCCTGCACGCTGGTCTCTTTGGCTTCTATCAGATCCCTGCCCCTCTGGCGGTTGACTCTGTCTGCTGGAGCTCTCCCTTCTCTGGCCAACACACAGATAGATGTCTATCACTGAAGTATCACTCTTTTCCAGGCTGCTGCTATAAAATCATCCATGTGCTGCAAGAGCCCTTCCCACTCCACCTTCTACTCTTCCTAAAACTTTGCAAAATCCACAGCGTTTTTGACACATAATAAGTATTGTTGTTCACAAAAGAGAAAAGGGTCTGGGGGACCCTCAGGCAGAAGCCGGCAGCACTGCACAGGGCAGGGTGAGATTTCCACTCCTAGGGTTGGGGACCAGAGCCTCCTGCCCTGCCTATGGCTGCTCTGCCCTGCGGGCCCCTCGCAGCCCCCAGCCCTGGGGCACACGGGGTTTGGGCAGCAGGGAGGTTCAGCTCTCCAGCCCTTCCCCACAACAGGCACCACCAGCAGCGCGACTCTGACCACCCCACAGAGCTCAGCAGTGTTTCCTTTGGTGGGAGCTGATGGGAGCAGCACAGGCTCCAGCCTGTCCTCATGTCCAGGCACCCCGCAGGAAAATGAGGTGAACAGAACTGCACTGCAACAGGGCCCAGAGCATCCCTGGTCCCAGATGCCGACCTCAGCCTTGTCTATCCTTTAGGCCTTTACATGCACTGGTCTGGGCTTGACACACATAGGCAGACAGAGGTATCTGCAGCTAGCAAAGCAGTGCTTGATAACTGCACTCATGAATGGCATTGAGCCTTTGTGAGAAATCTCTGCCTAACTGAGCTGACACTTAATGCCAGGCCCCGTTTTCAGCTTATCCCAATGTAAAAAAACTGTGCATGTTAGTGGAGAGCAAAGCAAACGGGGGCAGATACACACAGATGGCTTTCAAGACCACAGTAGTTATATTTGACAAAGGCATATCTTATTTTTTATCATTATTATCTTTGTTATTTTTATTCTTATTTTCCTTATTGTTTTTCTCAGCCATCCTATAATTCATACTTTGTGTTTTGAGCATCTCAGACACTTGGATGTATAACTTTTGGGAGAATTCTGCTTCAGGGTAGTTAGATGTCTGCAATAGCTGGCTTGAAATCAGTGCAGACACTGCGCACACACGTCTCCAGAATGTGGCCCTTTATTTCACAATGTCTGTCTCAGCCATACATATGGAAACATCAGGTGTTTATTGGTGCCACAAACTAAGTTCATTAGGTCTCATCACAACGGATTGACTTGCAGTACCAGAGACACGGGACCAATTAGCTGATTAGAGGATTCAGTACTGAATATAGCTGTGTGACACTGCTGCCATTTTTAAAAGGAGGAAATGGTGAATAATTCAAAGCGTCTTCTAATACTAAACAGTATTTTTTGGAACATAAGCCAGAGAGACAGGAGGGCACTTAGGAACGTGCTTTATTTTAAGGTTCTGAATAATTGCTCTGAAATCACACCTTGGGACATATAAGCCCATTTCAATTCAAAACCAGAGCCTCCAGTTCACAAATGAATACAGTTTTTGGCATCAGAAGTGACTTTGTGAAAGGAATTGAAGGAATAAAAAGGAATGTTCTTTCAAAGTGTTCTGCAGTATTCCATGCTAAGTATTGTAGCATCTGACCGCTTTGAGCTGTGCTCATACCATGCCATGTCTGAGGCACAGATCACTGTTGTCCTTTACCAGAAACTCCCAAATTTTCACCTGTGATTCAATGCACACAAACATATGCTCTCCTTGCTGTCTGACCTGGAGAGGCCAGCTCCAAGACACCATATGTTTTATGAATGCTCCAGCTTTGGGCAGTGCCATTTCTAGTGCCTGTGACAGAAAAATAAATGAGCCGAGGTCCTTCTGATGAGGAAAGCCTGCTCTTGCCATAGGGGCAGTTTGGTGACAGAGACACAACTTCCCAAAGGTAACACATAATTTTTCCATCTCTTGGCTGAGGCCACGGATGTGGCCAGAGGGATGCCCCGTCCCCACAGGCATTCAAGGCCAGGCTGGATGTGGCTCTGGGCAGCCTGGTCTGCTGGTTGGCGACCTGCACGTAGCAGGGGTTGGAACTGGATGGTCACTGTGCTCCTCCTCAACTCAGGCCATTCTATGATTCTGTGTTTCCTAACAGAAAGAACTGTTGGCGTTGATGTCTGCCAGTGGCTGCCTCCTGGCTGGCCGCATTTCAGCAAAGCAGAAAAGCACCCCTCTCCTTCCACAGCAAAATGTGCCAGACCTACTGTAAGATGCTTTGGGACACTCGGCCGGTAGGTGTCAGGAACAATTAATCCAATTCTCTCTGGTAGTTTCCTGACCACCTCCAAGCACCCTGCGTGCTCCCTGCGCCCTGTGCCAGCCTGTGTGGGCACAGCCCTACATGTGGAGCAGTGTCTGTGGGGCTCCTCAGCAGGAAGGCTGGGGCAGCTGTGTCACCAAGGGGCACGCTGAGGCAGCCACAGGCAGCACACGAGTGGAATGCCTGCAGCAGCCATTGGCATATTTGCAATGTGAAGGAAAGCATTGCTGTGGAAATGTATCTGATTCCAGAATTTTTTACGGCCAAGGGTTTCTCTCTAACTTGTTAGTTAAAAAAATAGACGGAAACATTCCAGCGTGGACTGAATTCAATGGTGCAGCAAACAGATGTGGTATTTTCTCCATTCTCTTTCAGACAAGAAATGCAGAGGTATTCTTATATTCTGTATTTCTTGTTACAGACAGAAAATTATCTCAGTGGTCTTTGCTTTGCATTGGACCCTTTCTCTCTCCACAGCTTTTCCAATAGAGCCACCAGAGCTGAAGTACAGGCGTGAATTTAGCATGCAGAAAACCCTAAGCCTCTCTGTAGGGACTATACAACTTAGGCTTTCACAGCAGGCTGAGACAAGGCCGTGTAAGGAAAGCCCCGAATCTACCTACACTGTTTCCATGCAGTTTTCAGTCTGTGCTCTGTGGATTCTTACAAGCCTGCAGAGTACTTTGAAGATATTTCCAAAAAGTATCAAAGAAAAATAAACCCATTATCACTAAGCTTAAAATCTCTGCAGAGGCCAGAAAACTGTAAGAAAATTACTGGGGGGGGTCCACCAGTTGTTAAAAGTTGAAAACCATTGTTTTTGTTACAAAATGCATGGTGGGACAGCTTCTTTTGGGAACAACAGCAGTGAATTTGGGGTCCTCGTTTGCCAGTGAAGAGGCAGACTGGTTCAAAGTCAGACTCCAATGTGTCTGCACAGAGAAGTGATTCAAAATACTCCAAAAATTCAAGGTTTCCAGGGATGTGAGAAAAGGATCTAACACAGGAGGCTGCATGCTGGCAAAAGCCAGCCAGCCCACACACAACATTAAAGGATGCCCTGATATTCCAGCTACAGGCACCTACAAACACTACATTAGGCTGCATTAACTGCTGATTCACAGAAGAGGCAAATAATGAATTTGGGAAAGAAAAGGAGATGAAGATTACAGTATTATCAGCAGCTGTTTTTTACTGTCACTGTTTCCTTTGCTAATGTTGCTGCTCACTAAAATCGTGCAGTTGGCTAGAGCTGGGCTTTTGAAAAGGCTGGAATGAATGATAAGATGGTGCCAAAAGAAAAACTCCCTGTGATCCTATAGCAGTGACAGAGCTGCTTGCAAATCGAATTATTTTAAAAGAAAAAAACATCAGAGGGATGTTGTGCCGGCACCATTAACACCTCCTGTGCCATCCTGGGTAGGGAACGCAGGACGTCTGCTCAGCGATGAAGATGTATGTGTGTGTATGCAGTGATCCCACTCTGGGGAGCAGGAGGGGACCATTTCAGAACATGCACATCACTGGGGTTGTGTCTAAAGCCTTGTTCAGTGAATAAGTTGTCTGAGAGGTGCTACAATATTGTGGCTCCAGCAGCATCCATGCTCCTGGGGTCCTTCAGGCCGATGATGAAACTGTTGGTTCTCCTGGCCCCATGGACCAGGGAGAGCACTTTGACTTTATCCACTTCATGGCCCCTGGCTACGAGACATTCAATATCTTCTTCAGAAAATTCACCTGTAGGGATTTTAAAAGAGGGCTTTGTAACTGAAACCACTGCTGCCTTCGATGCAGAGCTCTGTCTTAACCCTGTTGGGATCTTCAGAGTGTATGAAACTGCCTGTGGCCTCTTGAGGAGGTGTCCAAGATGGGGTGAGGAGGCTGAGGCTGAGGAGGTCCAGCCTGCACTGCCCCAAGCACACCCTCAGCAGCAAAGGCTGCTCAGTGTTGGGCAATGCTCTGTGCAGGGGAGGAAAGGAGAAGATCCAGAATATCATTTAAATATGGAAAACTGTGGAAAACTGTCCTCTTTGAAAAGGGAAAAAGACATTGCTGGCACCCATCCTAGTGACTCTGTTTACGGGAAAAAAGGGCAGTCTTTGCTCTGAAGAGCTCTGTTACAAATAACAGCATTAACAGCCAGTCCTCAAAATGAGATGCAAAGCAACTCGAAACAACACAAGCTGGCAAATGACAAACTTTGTTGATTAGAATGTGATAAACCTCGGGCTGTTTGCTCTTCTGCTCTTATTTTGTTTATTTGGCATTTTTTAATTTCCATATAAATAGGAGTGCCTGAGGACACAGCGCAGGGGAAGCAGATGGACAAATCCAGCAGACTCACAGAAACACCATAGTGATTTAAGCACTGTAGATGTATCTTAACACAACCTTGTTGATATTGAACATCCAAATCTACAAATTAGGACTTTCTGAAGTTCTGGATTTGTTTTAATTACATTTTAGTTTTCCAGCTTGTGGGACACACTTCACAGCCGTTTTTACATTTTCCTCCTGAATAGGAAGGACTAGAAAGTTTGCTATTTTTTGTGTGTGCAATGAGAACCAAAATTCACTTACGGTTCACTCTGGTAAGATATGGATCTTTGTGAAAAACACCAAATAGACTAAGACTTCAGTAACAAGGACAAGAGCTGACAGTGAAGTTTCCACTGCCTCAGCACTGATGCTGAATTTCCAGCACTAAGATCACAGCCTTGTCCTGCGCCTTGCCTGCTCCCCATCTGTTGGGATTCGAGAATGGAAAGTGAAAGAAAAGTATTTATGGGAGCAGTAATAACGTGTGTGAATATTTCCTAGCTTTTGGGATCTGTTTGAGTGAAAATAAGATTGTGATATTTTTTCATTTGGATATCCACAGTGATGTCATATCGGCTGAAAGGTTTTCAGGAAAGGGACAAAACTGCTGCTAGGAGGTGGGCTGGGACAGAGAAGAACCTACAAGAATTTGGACAGGCGGTGGTGGGGAGGCGAGGGAGCACTCCCCAAACGACAGCATGGCTCGGCACGGTCCCCAAGCTTTCAAGAAGCAAGGCTGCCACTTTCTGTCTGCCCCAAACCTCCAAACCAAGGATCCTGCGGCCTGGTGAGCCGTGCACTGGGCTGTCACATTTCCATGGCAGCATCCCAAGGAAGTGCTGCCACTCTCCTACACACGCCGGACTCGCGGGCCGCACCGCACCCTCTGCCCATACTCACTGTCAACCTGCAAGGTGTTGGACTGAAGCTGTGGGTGAAGACGACCAAGAGACAAACTTTCACTCAGATTCTTGTTGAACGCTAACACGTTTACCAAGACCTGCAAGAGAATAAAAGACCCCAAATAATGAAAACGTAAAGAGAATAGGAAAAGTGAGCTTCCTGAGCATCCTTCTTATTTGTAGCTCCAACATCTGCAAATGCGGCAGGCAAAGAAGAACGCAAACTTTTTGCCAAACTGCATGAACTAATGCAGGTCTTCACAACGTGAAGAGAACCTTGAAATACAGCCTATATATTGTTGGAAAAGTGGTACATTTCAGGCTCACGTGGGCAATCTGTCACACAGTTCCTGCTAAATTAGGAGAGTTGTTAGTCTGGAACATGACATAATCTCTAAAAATGATTTCTTTATGCCAAAATATCAGCATGTGACTTCTAACAAAGCATAAGGAAGCAATGGTTGGCTTTAATTTTGCCCTGAATGATGCCTTCCAAGAGATAAGGAAGAGAGGAACCAAATTTATTTTTAATAATATGGTACTGTTGCACAAATAATGAAGCTACTGGCACATGCTTCACTCAGTTACAAATAATAAATTATGAGGAGCTCCCCAGTATGTAGTGAACGCTGAGCAGGGTAGAACTTAGTCTGGACACACCAAAATGCATTTTTCATAAGGTAAAAGGAGCTACACGCACAGAGGCACACAGCCTAGAACATCAGGATGGACAGTTTGTGCTGCAACATGGGACCCTGCTCAGTACTGCTCAGCAGCTCCATGAGGAGGTGGGCACCCAGACACAGCACTGACCTGAACGATGCCGCTCAAGGCTTTGTCCCCACTGTTAGCTCCCAGACTCAGGTACGTTCCGCACATCCCCTCCGATGGCCTCACGATGGTGGGCAACAAGAAAGACAGGGGCCGTTTCCGAGGCTGGATGAGATTTTGCTGCAGGAAAGATGTACCAAAAACATTCAGCAAGGAGTTGTGCAGGTTAACTTCTTACTCCTTCTGCTGGAGCCAGCAATTGCACCTGTGCAGTTTTAAAGGCTGTTATTGTCACTGCTGCCATCATGCTCTCTGAAGTTAACAGGACCCAGCCTGTTTCATGCTCTCAAAGCTGTCTTACAGAAGATATACAGAGCCATTTACCAACTCCTAATGTACCAACATAGAAAACTGGGACAGTTTTTCAATACATGGTAAGAAGAATCAACAAGGCAGTGCTAGATGCTACCAGTACTGGTCTGTAATTGTTTCTTTCTAAGACCTGAAGATTTTTCTTCTACCATTTATTACCTTAAAATCTGCAGAGCAGTAATTCATAATGAGTTATTAATTGAAGTCCCCAGAGGACAATTGCTCCAAAGTGCATCTGGGCTACAGGAAAAATAGCTACCTGCGACACACAGCTGTGCTATGCTGTGGCAACACCACATTATAGTGATAACTAATGCACATGTAGCTTCCTGCTTACTCTATCTCAGCATTTCATATAGTGAAAAGATAGGAGCTTTCTATAGACAGCTCTCTGTAAGTTATTAATAAGCCACCAAATAATCTCACCACTGTGGAGATGGGATTGCAATTAATAAGGATAGTGCAGGCAGCTCAAATAGAGAATTTGTTGTGCTGTTCATTACCGGCCTGGGAATGGAGTGGTTTGTTGTTTTGTTTTGCCAGGAGAAGTCCAACATCTGGCTGTTCAGGAGCACTCCAGAGGCTGTCATTATTCCACTACCAAATGGGCGATTCAAAGAACTGAAAAGAAATGAGAAGAAATCTCATACAATTCTTCACAGTGTGCACATCGAGGCCTTCAGTCATGCAATTTTCTGTCCCGTTTTGGCTTGACAGAGTCTGCCACGGTTTTTTAAGATGTGCACAGCAGAACTCTCCATGTATTTAGAGACAGGCACTGTAACCATGTGGGTGACAGAGGATCAGTCCCTCCCTGTGTTCAAGGATTCCCCCCCAGCGGTGGGTCTGCCTCCAGGCTGCTGAATGCATCTGTAGCCTCTCTAGGGAGCAGAGCGAGGCCAGTCAAGGCTCGTGAGAGCCATGGATAGAGCTGGTAGAGCTGCACAGTGTGGAGCAGCACCTCGGGGCCTTCTCAGCTCCACCCCAGCTTCTGCACTCCTCCTGTTGCAGGACTAAGTGTTGGAGCAGCCCCACGGGGCCGGGGACTTTGGGAATGCCATTCTTACAGTAAGGATCCACACAAAATCCTCACGTGGCTACAGGTCTTGCCTAGGAAAGTGCAGTCGCTCCCCTTCAGGGTTTCTGGAGGAAGAACATGGGCCAGCCCAGCATGCTGAACACCACAGCTCTGGGCTGGGTTGTGCGGGAGCAAAGCTCCCGCTCCATCTGACAGCAACCCAGGTCTGGCTCTGTCCTGCCCTGCTGAACCTGCTTGCTTCTTCCTGCTCCCATCCTCTGAGAGCGTTGTGAAGTAAATCCTTTACCTTACGACTGCGACAATGAAGTCATCGGGTCCCATGACGAGAACCTGGCTGGCAGCGGCTCCGCTCTCCACAGAGAAGTGAGGCAGGCGGAGATCCAATGAGAAGGGCTGGGACTCATTTATCAGCTGGCGCAGGGAATCAGCCTCTGATTTACTTCAGCGGTGAGGAAGGGAAGGAGAAAAGAAGGAGATGAGCGCAGGGGGCCAGGTATCTCTTGGTCTCTTGGTGGGGGGTTCATTTACACAGCTGCAGGATCGCTTCACGGTGGAGCCTGGCACTGCAGGCAGGGAACCACCCCGCTCAGCCAGCAGAAGGAGACGAGGTGGCTCTGCCACAGCCACCAACATCCTGGGCTCTACCCGTGGACATGGACTCCACCCTGGGAGATGAGAGGAGCCGCCACTGGCAGAGCGCTCTGAGAGCACTGGCAGAGCCAGCTCTGTCCACCCGCTGTGGTTGCACCTGGCTCTGCAGGAAGCTGGGCTGCAGTCCCAGGTCTGGCTGCTCCCACGCCTCTGGGTGTGCTGCAAAGGCAGCCTGTCTGACCCCAGAGATGGAAAACTTAGGGAGATCAGAAAGCAGGAGGAGCCCTCAACAGTAAGCAGGACCTCTGTGTGAGGACATCCTATGTTTCATCTCCACAGCCTGTGGCATCAGCTGTGATCCTCGTGGGAGGGTGAGCATGAGGACTGAGCTTTCCTCAGTAAAATAGAAATGGAAAAAACTCAGGTTTCCTTGTGTGCAGGAAAGAGGAAATGCAGGAATGATACTCAAACCACACACCTTGCAACCACCAACGTGCCCATCAGCCTCAGACCTACCTCAGCATGCCTTCTGCAGCGCGAACAATGGATGCATCGTCGGATGGGTCTCCCAAGTTGCTAGCTAGACTCAGAGCGATTTTTAATGTCTAAATCAAACACACAAAGAAGGAGACACAGGACATCACTTAGGTGGTATTGGAAATATCACTTCTGATACTCCAAACAGGAGGTACCTGCTCTTCCAGCATGTTGTCCAAAGCCCATGAACTCAAACGTCTGCCTCAGTGAAAAGGGCTGCCACACGTGGGCGTGGGGATCAAAGGGGGTCAGATTTTCATGGCAAACTGCATGCAGGAAGAGGCAAGTGTATCAAGTAGTACTTGTATACGTTCCACCTTCCAGGCAGTGTTTTCCAGCTGGCTTAGCCCAGCTATGGTTCAGCAGTATTGCCAGCTGGCAGACAGGATTGCCAGCATGCAACTTTCATTCTATTTCTTTCTTTCTGCTCCTAAATGGTCACCACAACAGAAGAGATCACACCAAATCCCAGTGGGAAAATGGGTCCTGGGCTTGCTGTTTCCTCTAGGATGGCACAAGACTGCCAGTTTTCAGGTCATGCCATTTTCATTCAAGTTTCAAAAGGGCTCATTTCCATTTTGATACGCACCGCTCATCAACAACCAGTCTTGAAATGCCATACTTTATCTCGTGATATATAATTCAGAGCATGATTAACTTCTGGACAAGGTGGTGTTTCCATGAAACCATGACCACCATAGCATAAGTAGGATGTACAAGCAGCTTGGTGGCCATTGAGGAGCTTGCAAGAGCAAGCAGAGCATATGTCAAGCCCGTGGGCTCTGGTTAAAGACATCTTGGTCATTGCTGCCCCAGGGATGATTTAGCACTGAATCTCAGCAGTGTGATCAGCTTTGCAATCCTGAGAAATCAGGATTACTTGTGTCCTGAAGTGAATGCCCTTTATCTAGAGGCTGCTGCTCCTCACCTGTGACATGATAACTAGTGAATGAAACTCTTTGTCAGGTGTAAATGCAGCACAAACAGATCCATTTAAAGTTCCCTGAAGAGTACTCAAAATAACTTTTCTGAGTCATCCTTCTCAGCCTCTTCATAGTTCCAGCAGCATGTAACACCCCCATTTGCTGTATTTTTGCTAAGGCAGTAACTTTCCTGTGCTGTGCAAGCTGTCCTCTACAAAAGCCTCTGTAGCATAAAAGGTGGAAGAAATCAGTGGGATACCATTAGATGCTGTAGGGTCATTCTGACATACAGGAAGTGGGCAAAAGCCACAATCTGGTCTCCCAAAAAAGCTCTGCTTAAGCTAGAAAGAGTTCAGCTGAGCAGGGGGCTCCAGCATCTGCACCTATCTGAGGCTGCAGCACAGCTCAGATTTACACCTTAGCAGTCTATTTGCTCATTCTCCTCTGAGAATCACCTACAAACACTTTTGTACAATCAAGGAATAAATGAATCATTCTCTAGCAGCACAACAAAGTCAGCCAAATGCTGACTCTCCTCTTACCTCTGCAATCCAGTGCAAGATGTTCCCCCTGGGTGCTAGATTTGTGATGTTAAAGCCCTCGAGGATATTCAGTGCTGTGATCAGAGCAGGACCTGCATGTGGAGGGGGGGGACTCAAAACAAGATGACCTGTGAAGAGAAGAAACCTCCAGGTGCATCAATTGCAGTAGGTAACTGCAGGAAAGTCCCTGGAGGGCTTTTCTGCAGATGTGTTACACTGTCACCTCCTATCAGGTGAAGTGCATGGCAGTGGGTCAGGCAGCAGTGCTTACCTCGGTAGATCGTGTGGACGGGACTCTCCACTGTAACACTGTAATTGCTGAAGTCTTCCTCCTCCAAGACTCCTCCATAGTTTTGGACCTGAGTAGGAGAGCAAGGCAGCGCACGCTGAGAAAGCTGGGTCGAGGCTCCTGCTGGCCTGGGTGAGCAATCTCTGTGTTGCTAAGCAACTGACATGAGACCCCTGAGCCACGTTCTATAGGATCCCCTGAAAATGTGTACTTTCATGGCGTTGGTGGCTTGGCAAACCGTTCACCAGCACTGGAAAGCTCTGCAGCTCATCTTCAAAACGCCACACCATGGCTGCCTGCAGTTCAGCCTACCCACCAGGAGGGGATGAGCACTGCCCTGCAGCCTTCTCTGGGTGGCAAGGATGAATACACTAAAGGCTATGAAGTGTACGAATACTGCCAGGAAGGACACTGGGTGCAGCAGATTTCCATCAAGAGAAATCTTTAGTTCCCGATTTCCACCCTATTTTAACTGTAGCAGGTGATAAGGGGGATTGCTGTACCCTTGGTCTTCCCATTATGCTTTTTCCCTGGGTTGGTAATTTTCATGTATTCAGTAAAGGTGGGTAATTCCCTCCACTGCAGGTCCTCAGTGCTTGAATTACGATGGAGATGAGTTAGGCCATCATGACAGCACTCTGCTGGCCTTAAAAGTCCCCTGGCGCAAGTAACGCTCTTAGTCACGGTACAGGTGTTACCGTATTCAGATCATTCCCTGGAGAGCACTACTCTGTGCATTCCCACCTCAGGACTGAAACAAAGGGCTGTGTGCTTGGGTGATTTTCCACCCCTCCCTTCACTGAAACAATAAACACTGTGAAGCTGATGTGGGAAGCCAGCACTTTGCTCTGTAACTAAACCTGGAATAGAACACCTGATCCCAGAGCTTGCTGGGCTCTTTGTGGTGCAGCCCCAGAGTTGGGGTTCCTTGAATCACCAGCCTGGGACTCTTCCTATTCCTCATTCTCTGCCTCTGCGGTTGTCCATGTGAAGCAGCAGAGAAGGTTTCCTAACACACAGCTCCTATCTAAGGATTGAGCTGAATAAACCCATCCCAGACTACTGAAAATACACTGAAGGAGCATCACGTGAAGAACGGTAGCCAGGAAAAATGGTGCCACCAGCCATCCTGACTGCAGCTACCTAGGTATAAAAGTAGATTTCCAGCACTGTCTACATGAAAGGACTCTTAGCACACTAGTGAAAATTTGTATAGCTGTCACTGTGGCCAGAGCAGGTTGGGTTGTTTTTTGCTTTGTCCGCCATTGCTATATTTTGAGAGCACAACTAGCAACAGGAGTAGCTAGCAGACAGGGCTCACCTCAGAGATGATCTCCCGGCTCAAGTTTCCACTGTAGAAGGCTGAAGTCCCTTCTGCTCCCACTAGCTCCAAGACAGCTGCGAGGTCCAGGCGCCTCACAAACATGCCAGGCAACAAAGGCTGGCCATCCGGCAGGAAGGTCTCCCGAAACTTGTCAGAGCAGTTCAGGTCTTTAAGCTCACTCACAGCTTTGGCTGTGGGAGAGAAGGAGAGGGGCAGAGAGGGACATCCAGAAACCCCAGGATGCATGAATGTGCAGGGGACCTGGGATCTTGCTGCTGTCTCTTCCAAACCAGAGAGCCAGAATGCAAGGGATGGATCACAGCCCTGCTGCAGCTGGGAAGGAAATCCAAAGAAATTCTGCCACCTTCTCACTGCCCTGACAAAGGGCTCCAGGTTTGCTGTCACTGTACACCTCTTGCAGACCCCTGCTTTGTCTTGCTCCCTCCACCACCCATTCCCAGATCCAAGGCACTCTGATTTCCCACGCACAACCACGTGACCTGTCTCAAGCCCTGCAAGAAGCCGCCATCACAGTGGGCTCCTTTGTGCTGTGTGCCACCTCAGCTCCCCAGCATGTGCTCACCCAAGTCGTGCGTGATGTTAAATCCATCCTGGGCAACGGCAGCCACGAGGCCCAGCAGCTGTGACCAGGGGAGCCTGCAAAAGGAGGGCAGCCAAGGAGACATGTGCCAATGTGGATTGGTGGGGCAGACAAGCTCTCAGCAAGCTGGGCTCAGGGCTAGCAGAGGCCAAAACAAGCACGGGGCTTTTAGTGGGTTGTTTCTTTCAAGCAGGTTTCATGATGTACCCCAGAGGAAAACATCAGTGCAAAGATAGGGAAATGGGCACCTCTGGAGCAAAATGTCACATCCCTGAGCAAGCTATTCAGACTCCCTCTCTCAGTGCTCTAGCAGGGCATCAAGCACAACTGCATTTCTCAGGATCCAGCTAAAGAGAGAGCTGAGAATGCATGAAAATGTTATTCACATGTTTCTAAGAACATTAATTGTCCATCTCCTTGGAGAGCATGTGAAAGAACTCCACTGTGCTGAAAACCCGACCTAGCTGAATTCTTTTGTTAAATAAAGCACCAAAACTTCGGTGCATTTTTCAGCATGAGCCTCTGAGAACCTGTTAGCTGATGGCTTTGACTGGTGGCTGAGGGCATACTCTGATGGAGAGCGGCTGTGAGGGAGCCTGGGGCACAGTGTGTACAGGGTGGGCTCTTACCTGCCATGCAGCTGGTGTGCCCGGTGCATGCCTTGCAGCGTGCCTGGCACCCCCACGAGCAAACCTGGCTGCAGAAAGGGAAAGGTGAAAAAGAAGAGTGAAATACAGGGCCCCTGGCTGCTAGTCGAGGAGCTGAGAGTAATGCTCACAGAAAGTGTTTGGTCTCTAAGGAAAGTGGAAGAGCTCTGTGGCAAGACACTAAATTAGGAAACAAGTCTTCGGAAGGAATGAGGAAACTTCATCCCAGTGTCAGTCCAATTTGGTCAGGAGAAATAACCCATCTGAATGACGTGGGACCTTGCTCCCTTATGGCACATTTGTTCTCCCAGATCACCACTGCCAGAAGTTGCCTCACTCCCTGCCCCTGCCCCAACCAGCCTCTCTGCTCTCTGTGCCCTGCAGGCTCCAGGTCTTCTGGAGGTGGTGCGGGAGGGTTTCCCTTGGCTCCCCATGCTCACAGGGCCCTGGGCCTCCCATGGCAGCCTCCTGTCACTTCCCTGGGCCTCTTTCACACTGAAAGGCCAACGAGAGGGCCCCAGCCTACCGGTCCTGCTGGAGGGCCCCTCACCTTGCTGTCCTTCAGCAGATCGCTGTCCGGCGGGATGCCCAATGGAGCCACCTCACGGAAGTCGATCACCTGGCTCTGGTTCTTCCGGATGTCATGGACCAGCATCACCCCACCCCTGTGGTGAGGACGGGGTCAGTCATGGCATCGGCTGTCCCCACTGCCACCATTGCCATGAAGGCCATGCAAAGAGCAGATCCTCATCAGGGATGAAGCTGGTCAGTGCCTGCCAGCATGGCCAGAGGGCTGCTGGCCCTGTTCCACCACCAGGTTGGACTGCGTGGAATTTTCCTTCTAAGCCTGACTGGTTTGCAACAAAAAAGGGTTTACTTAAAACGGAGCAATATCTTGCCCAGCCTGGAGGTGCTGTGGGCTGGGTTTGTGCAATGTCCTGCACCTCCTGTAGCTCAGGGACACTGGGAGCAGAGGGGAGATGGGGCCAGCTGGGATGGAGGTTGGGCTCCAGCTGGTGAGGAGAAGAGCCTAGCCAGAGAAGTGTGGATATCTGCAGCGAGCCAAAGCCTGAGTGCTGCCAGCTTCTGGCACCCTGCACAGGGGCTCAGCTGCACACAAGAGCCCTCTCCAGCCCATGTCTGGAACTTTCCTGGCAGCTGCTACTGTAGTTACAGGGATCTATGTCCCTCGCTGTGGGGCCGGACCCTGCTAGGAGGACACACGGGAGCAGCTGGCACCTACCCGCCAATGCCTGAGGTGTGGGGGTTCACCACTCCTGCGCAGAGCACTGATGCGATGGCTGCGTCCACCGAGGAGCCCTGCTTGCTGAGCACCTCGACGCCCAGTGCTGTGCAGCGGGCAGCATCCGTCACCACAGCCCCACGCTGGAAGAGCTGCCAATGGAGAGAGGATTGCCCAGCTCTCGCCTGCGAGGAGCTGCAATCTGAGTGCCATTAAGAGTGCAAGAAATTGAAAAGAGCAAAGCTCTCCCATTCCTGAATGTGCAGCCAGCTCAGCCCTGCTGTGTGGGACGTGGCGATGGCGGCCGTGACCACAGGGTGCCTCGTGGCTGATTCAGGCTGCGGCAGGAAATGTTCTGCAGCACATCTCTCCAGGAGATGGTGGGATCCCATGACCACACTGTATCTGCTTTGCACCACCCCACATGAGGGGTCAGCAGGAGGTGTGGTTCCGATCTCAGCAATTCCCCTGCATGGAGCCTTCCAGAGACGGGCTCTCACATGAGGATCCCTAAAACTCTGCAGGTGGAGTTGTGGGAGAGCTGCCTCTGCCGCTCAGAGAACTGCCGTCAGAAAGTATTCACACCCAGCTTGGACACCACTGGGCACACAGCAGGGGAAAAAAAAAAAAGCAGGGAAAGCTTTCAGGCAGTTGTGGGTAGGGTTGCATACTCAGCACCGGGTTCTCACTGATGCTTCTAGGGCCAATCTGCTGGCAAGAAGGGAGGTGAGGGAACGTGCTTATCCCTGTCCGAAACCCACGGCATGCTGCAAACCCTCCTTCTTCTTACCTGAGGGTCTCCAAAGTAGATCTGCATGATCAAGGCCACCGTGACCCCTGTGGCGAAGGTGAGGCAGGCAGTGATGATGACGGTCAGCCCGTCCTGCCGGCAGCTGCAGTCTGCAGAGAAGGGGTCCTTGCTGGTCTCTCGCAGGGGGGACGCATCCTGGCTGCCCATCTCCGAGGAGGACGAGGGCAGGCGCTGCAGGCGCGCGGACTTCAGGAAGGAGTCTGGGTCTTTGTGGGCAGCAAGGAGACAATAAGAATTAGCAATTGAGCAACACGGGGCTCCTGTTGCGCAGTTTACCTGGCACTAGTGTTACACCATGCCGCATCCAGCAGGGCTTATTATTTTCCCCATTGGTATGAGCTCTCAATAGACTTTCCGGCTCAGGTGCCACTCCAGGTTGTTTTATTGTTCACTTCCTTTAGCTCAAGCTATCCAAAGATTACTTTCCTGGAGATTAAGAGGCAGAAAAAGCTGAATTTTTCCCCACGCACCATTCTTTAGGGCCAGACCCATGATTACTGCCCTGTTTCGATGGGTTCTAACACAGTGCTGACTTGCAAACAGGTCTCAGAAATGCAGCAGAACTGAATATTCCAACTTAGAAAGGCAGCAGACATATCTGGAGTACCTTAGCAAAACAGACTTAGGCACAGGAAACACATCCACTGACTCTTGATGAAGTGAGAACAGAAAAGAGCAAGCCTGCAAATGGGACCTCTGCAGGTCCCCCAGCCCTGGCTGCAGAGAAGGCTCTGTGTGAGTCTCTCCCTTCCTCTGGCTGGTGAGGCTCACTGAGATCCAGCAGGGTGCTGAATGCTCAGCCTCGTGGTGGTGAACACAATGGGAAAGTTTTGCTTGGCAGCAAGCAAAGCTCAGGATGATCAAAAGGTCTGAGAAATGCCTGGGCTCTTGGCTCACATCAGCTCTGAGGGGTAGGCTGGCTCAGCACCCTGGGCATCACCGCATTCCCATCCCTACCAGGCACCGTACCGCTCCAAGCCAAGAGCTCCCAGGTGAGCAGGTCCAAGCGGGCAGGGCTGCAGCATGCAGTGGTGTTCCTGGTGTGGGTGGAGGGAAAACCTTTTGAGGGGTGTCACAGATGTCCCACAGGACCTTGGGCAATTGCTCAGCTTGCATGGCCGCAGTGCTATGCTGGGACAGCATGGCCATGATGCGGTGCAGGGGGTTGGTCCAGTCACAGAATGCCCCAGCACCAACATTCACCCTCCTTGGCCCTCAGACCCCACCTGACTCTCAGAGAAGCCGTGAAGGAGACCTGGTTTTATGTGGAGACCAGCACTGTGGGGACAAAGGCCCACCTCAGCTCTGGATGTGCTGTGGTGGGGACAGCAGAGGCCAGAGCTGCTTGCAGGTGGGGACACTGCAATCCCCTGAGGTGGTTACTCTGTGCCCACCAGCACTACAGGGACACCGGTTAGCAATGCCTTCTGTGCTGCAGAACCCAAAGGTCTGGATTCCCTGCCCCAGGAGCCTGGCAGATTAAGTGATATGAAGAAGCATGGATGGTTTTTGCAAGACACACACACAGTGTCAGATGAGTGTGAGGCTCCACGTAGCAGCACAGGAGACTCATGCAGCTCTTCCAGGTGGCACCTGGGGATGTGGTGGAGACACACAACCAACGGGACCTCCACACAAATCTCTGCTAGTGCCCCCCATGCAAAAGGAGAGATTTGGCACTGCTCCTGCCAAACTTCACCTCACCACATCCAAAGGCACTGGGGTGCTGTGGGGAATGGGATGGCAACAGACGATGGAAACTGCACTCAGTTCACAGCACAATGAAGCCACAGACAAGGTGTGAGCAGGGCTGACGTCCATCTGCAGGCTACAGAGCGGCCCAGGAGCAGCGTGCACTTGGGCTGTGGGTCCATTTGTGAGCAGGCATCAGTCCTCACAGTCAAACCTTCCTGTGAGCCACTGGCCAGGCTGGGAGCAGGCCCTGGGGACAGCGCAGCCTTGTGGCAATGAACTGTGGCCCAGGGTGCACACAAGGAAGAACTTGGGGTGGAAACCACCTGGTGGTGGGGTCTCTGGGGACCTCATGCAGTGATAGATTCTGTCGCTTGCAGAAACATGAAATGGAGGAGAAAAAAACAGGACTGACTATTTACAAGAAAGTAATAAAATAAAATAAAAAGGCAAAAGGTTTTCACAAGCATAAAAAGAACACCTGACTTTATTAAAGCCATGCATCTGTCACGATGGAGCGCCGGCTCCTCGCAAAACCCCTCGCGCCTGCTGCTGGCGCGGCTGTCAGGGCAGCTCCAGCGCGTTTGCGGTGGGAATGCGGAACGTGGAAACGAGCGGAGGATGAACAACGCAGAGCCGCGGCGTGACGGAGCCCCGCGGGACGAGGGGACGACACGAGGCGGCTCCGAAGGGCGGCCGTGGGGCAGCGCCGCCGGCGGGGCTGGGCGGGGGGGAGGGGGCGGCCGCCGGGGAGACCGCGGACGGACGGGCGGGTCGAGAGGGCCGCCCTCCAGCGCGGGGGTCCCGGGACGCGGGCGCGGCGGGGCCGGGAGCATGCGGGGCCGGGGCCGGGCCGCCGCCCCTCACCCGTGTCCTGCTCGCCCAGGAACGCGTCCTCCTCCTTCCGGGCGCGGAGGCCGCCCTCGGCGGCGCCGCCCGCCTCCTCCTCGGGCAGCCGGGGGAAGCTGGTGATGCTCATGTAGTCCACGGGTGAGTAGGCGCCCAGCGCGCGCTGCCGACCCCCCGCCGCCTCGGCCTCGGGCGCCGCCATCCCGCCCCGCCGCCCCGCGCCGCCGGAAGGGGCCGGGCCGCACTGCAGCCTCCGCCGGGGCGGAGCCGCTCCCGGGACGGGGTGGGAGCCGCACGCCGTCAGCCCGCGGGCCGGCGCTCGGCTCCGCGTCGTGCGGCTCCGCGCCGTTCTGCTCGCGCCCGCCGGCAGCCCGAGCGGCCCTGGGGTGCTGCCGGCTGTAACCGGTAACCGCCCGCTCGCGGGAGCGTGTCTGCGAGCCGGCCTCAGCCCGCTCCGTTTTCGCGTCTTTGCGGCCTTCCGTCCTCAGGAGGGCTCCCCTCCTGCCGGCGGCATCTCGTCAAGGCGTCCACAGTGAACCCCAGCGGGCTGCAAGCACAGCCCGCGGGAGCTTGGAAGTCAGGCTGGGGAAATGCAGGTGCACCTCCGTGAGGCACGCAGAGATCCTGAAACCTCAGCGCTGCGCTCCGGCCTTAACGGACACTGCTTGCTTTAGGGCCGTGCCAGGCTGTTTAAGAAAGTGACATCAGCAGAACTCCCTTGCTGGACCAAACCCAAGGATAAACGTTTGCCGTGCTGTGTGCCGTCGTAATGCCTGCAGAGCTGTGCCACCCTGACAGCAGCTGCTCTAGCTGGGGTCTGACAGCCCAGAAGAGAGATCACAAGAAAATCTTCTGGCAGTGGCACACCAGAATGCATTTGCTCCTCTCCACAGAATGAGCTTAGGACAGGGAAAACCTTCCTCATGTTCCTTCCTGCCAGGAACCACTGCTTCTAGTTGGGAGCCAAAGCCACATTCCTACAGGGCCAAAGCAAGTGAGCCTCCCAGAACCTGTAAGCAGCACAGCCTCCTCTGCATCGTCACAGAGACCACGCAAGGATGCAGCCTGCTTATGGAACTGCACACTGGCAGCTGCAGCTCCCACCACCCAGCTCAGCTCTTCTTCTCCATGTTGCAGCCCTGCAGCAGCACAGCCTCCCAGCAGTTGTCATTCAGCCCTGCAAGAAACCAAGAGCACAGAGCAAGCGTGCTGAGGCCTGAATGGACAGCATGGCTTATACAGGGACAGCACTGTTTGTCCTGCTTCTTACAGCCTGGATGTGAGCATTGGTTACCACTTCCACTACAAACGCTTGTCTCCTGAAAGCACAGCAGTCGAGAGTGCAACACAAGAGACTTAAGAAACCCAGAGAGTTGCTGGCTAAGATATTTACTAAAATTCAGACTCTTGAATGAATCTCAGCTTCCCAATATTCTGCAAAACTTTAAAGACCAGAGGATACAGACGCTGCACAGCAGGTTATCCAGGTGACATTTATTAGAGCACTTCAAGTATACAGCAATTCCCCCATGGCTGCAGATGCCAGTAGCGAAGAGTGACTAAGAATTGGCAGGCTATGTAATCATCACTGGAAATTAATGCTTTCAGCTGAAGTAAGAGGGAAATAAAAAAAGGCATCAGACTAAAAGGTTGATCAAGTTCAGGGATGGGGAGGAGCAAATGTAGCTCGTTTGAGATCGTTTACCTAATTTGGCAACTAACACGTAGCAGAAGCTGCCTGCTATTGCACTGTTCCCTCGGCATCCCAAGGAAGTAAGTCACCCAGGGGTGTTTTTCTCCTCCGAGAGCAGCCAGCATTCTCCCTGGTAAAGGAAAGCCACCTGCACAGGTGGGTCAGTGCTGGAGCCCCAGCTCAGCAGCTGGAGAATCAAATTCCCAGCTTTGCATGCTCATTTCCACCAAGAAAGCAACACAGACTTCCACCAAGGGCATGCCAAAACCATCAGCTCCTCACTACAAGGCAGCTTTAGGTCAGGATTCCTGCTGGATAAACGGGCTGTGGTTTACAGAAGCAAGAACCACATGGCAGCTAGGCTGCTAAGTCCTCAAGCAAAAACAAGGACTGTGCATTTCTCAGTCACTACTTGTGAAATACAGTCCTTAAAAACACTTCTAAAGCAGAGACTCCTCACCAAAGCATAAAAAGGGCATGAGTAGGAAGGAACTGAGCTGTGGTGTGACCAACTCAGAGAGCACCTTGCAAACCAGAGGCCACATGCTTCTCTGGATCTGCCTGATTCACCAATCAGTAGTTATACACGTAAGATGTTAGCTGCCTTGATTGTGTTGGTCTCCTGCAGTTATTAACAAGGAACATCTGAAGCTGGCTGAAATAAAAAAAAGCTTTTAAAGACAAGTGAAAAAGGATTCAAATGCCTACCATTCCAAGTGCACCTGCACAATGACGGTTCCTCGAGACCATTGAGCTCTGAGGTAAGTGTTGGCAATTCCATTATCAGGCCAGCAAAACCCAGCGGTGTTTCCAAGCTTCCGGAACATGTTTTAAGTTAAACATTTGTTAACAAAATTAACACAGCTCTTTCTAGCAAAGTTGTTTAGAAATTTGTCTTCGGCAAGGACTATTTGAAAATTCCGGTGAACAAATGATTAGTAAGTAAAACAAACTATGAGAAATTGTACCAACACAGTCTGTTTAATCAATTCAGATCTGATTACTACCAAAAATGCTGAGGGCAGCCATTGAACTCATATTCTGGTGCTGCAGGGCCTTCCTTCACCAACCTTGCAATCTCTTTTTAAAAACCTGTCTGCATAAAGGACAACAGTGGAAGACACGTGAGAACGTAATGACAGATTCCAGATACAGGGCACACATACATTAAATTAACGGATTCCATCTTCAGCATACAGGAGTTTGATACAATTACTGGCTAGAGTCGCAGAAAGTCGAAGATCTGAACAGTCTTGAACCACTTCCACAAATTCCAATGGCTTTTGATAGTTCCAATAATTAACGGGTATATAAAACGGAGTCAGACTGGCTGCTCCAGCAGAAGGCGTGGGGCTCTTCCATGCTGATCAGAAGGAACTTGATTGGACTTCCCCAGCCTTCCCACCAGTCTGCTAAAGGTGATGATTTATTAAAACCTTCCTGATTTACTGACAACTGATTTAACAGGCAAAAGCTGCAGACCGTGTCAATCATAGTGGATGGCAGTATAGAAGATTATCCAAACAACCTGTGGAGAAGAAAGGAAGAGAAGGTTGTTTTCATGCCTCTGGAGAGGGTTTGAACACTGACAAGTTCATGCCTCACTGATGGGGGTCTGAATTCCAGTTCTGGGAGTGCATCAGAGAGGCACTGGGATTTCCATGCACCACAAATGGTGCCATTCATCTCACCTGGCTTCCAGAGTGATTGATATAGCTACAACAAATCCTACCACAGTCCCTCCAGCCATCTAGGAACACCACCACATCGAGTCATGTGGCATTCAGGCACCTGGGGAAGGGGAGTGATGGCAATTCTTCCCATGAAGCTCACTTCTCAGATGATGTTAACATATCTCTTCTACCAGTGCCCCAGCTTTTCTTCCAGACCCTCAGAAAGTTTACCAACACAATTCACAAACCAACTTAAAGAAAGCAAGAGATGTTACCAGAAACAGTGCAAAAGATGTCATGAATCCTTCCTTTGTTAGCTCCCACGTGCCCCCATACTCCTCCTCATCTATCTGTTGGAAGCTACTGAAGTAGAGGTACAGAACACCAGCATTGATCAGGCAGAATCTGGAAGAAAGATTAGGAACTGTCATTTTCATTGCACGTGCAGTATGCCACAAGGCAACGTATGAAATGTCAGCAGAGAAGAGGTGAAAGGGAGCACTATCCCTGTCACTTTACACGGGCAGCTCAGTGTCTTCCTTACAAGAGCCCCTTCAGGTCAGCAGCTGGGTTTGGATGAGGTTCACCTCACGAGGCACAACCTACAGCAACTAAGGCTCAACAGACAGCGATCAGAAGCTGGAAATACCAGCAGATCTGCAAATCCTGCAGATCAGCAATAGTCCTGCTCCCACCACAGAATCCCATTTCCTTGCACACACTGATTTTGAGGCTGCCAAAAGGGAGGAATGTTAGAAGACAATGGAGACAAAAAAAATGAGACCTCCCATTTGTTCTTAGACCAGTTTGGCCTTATATTACTCTAACTTCAGGCTGAGACAATCTCACAAGGGACAAGTATGTGTTCTGGACAGAAAGCTGTAGGAAGGGCCCTACTTGAAGACATGCAGGTTCAAATACCAGCAGCAAGCTGCAAGCAGCTGCTCAACCACATATCATAGAGCAACTGCATGCACGATTCTAGAAGCTTTTAGTTTCCCAAATTATACTACGTTTTTATTTCCAACACGTAGCACAGAAATGGGCGCATGCACCTGAAGACGCCTTGGGAACAAATGGATGACTGAGTACAAGCAATGCTTCCCAACTCCTCTCCTCATCATCTATTAGCAGAAGCACTTCAGATGCAACTGTCTGCATGTAGCTACTGCGCTTCTGTTACAGCACCGTTGTCCTGCAGCTCATTTCCTTAAGTTCCAAACTTCAGGGTTTTTTTAGAGGCAGACAGCAACACTCCCTTCATCCCCTCAGCACAGCTAGGGCAGGTCATTCCATTTTCCTCAAGAAAAGCTCCAGAGCTGAGAGCTGTTTTTAGAGGCCTTAATTAAGCAGAGACATTTGCAAAGAGACTCCCCAGCGTTTCCTGTCACTTCTTCGAAGCCCCCTTTTACACACGCACAAATAGGACACTTCACAAGTCAGCTGAGCTCCTTCCACCCCCATCTTCTTTAACAACGCTAAAAGAATTGAAAAACAAAATAAAAAAAGCGTTAGCTCAAGGAGAGAGAAAGGAGCTGATGAAGGTGTCAGGGTTTGAATTTCCTGACAAATAGCAGCCTGGAATGCAATGCTGGGTTTGAGACACAGGGCAGACGCAGGGGCTGCGCCCAGCTGTATCTACAGCACAGGCTGCAAAAAGACAAGAAGCCGGGACCAAACGTGGGAAAGCGCACGGGGCAGAAAAGGGAAGGAGCCTTACATTGCGATCCCCACGAATCCCTTCAGAGGGACCACCCCCCAGATGACTCCCAGAATAACCGCGATGATCTGCCGGAACCAGTAGATGACATCTAAGAACTCGTCCTGAGGAGAGAA